TGATCTTGCTTCCAAACTTTTGGCCTGTAGTGTACGTCCGAAAAGACATGCGAACAGTTGGCTGCTCTTTTGTGTAAAAAGTCTCACCAGCCTTTAATTATAATCAAGGAGGGTAACCGAGTTGATAGCCAGTTAAATGATTCGAACAAGCAGCTATTAGGCTTTACAATAAATGAATGACATAATCATAGAGTGAATTAATTGTCGATATTACTTCATCAGCATATAAGAGCTGATGATGATGGTCATGATTAGAGAAACAATGAAAGGACAATCATAAGCAGCAGGCGACAGATAACCGTGATGGTAATTGCTACACCAATAATGTCACTGTTATCTGATTAATTATGATAATGTTGTTAAACTGGGTGAACACACACGCTCAGTCCAATAAACCTCATTCTCTGCCTCTTTGTAGACTAATCATCAGTTATAGACAACATTTTTGAATTCATATGATAAATATTCGACATACCCTCAATAATTTCATACGTATACAGACTTTAAGTTAAATCTTTAAGCGGTTTCACACAAACACACACACCCCTCTCTTCCTGTCACCGACACACTCGCTCTAATATAAACATGCTGCATGTGTGTCAGGTCAGGTTTGATGAATGTAGATCAAATAGTTCCAGTTAATTGGGAGCTTTAATTTAGCATCAAGCATACTTATCCTGCACGCACACACACACAAAAAAACACACACGCACCGTCCTAATGTTATTACTTGTCATTCAAAGTCTATTTAATCATTATTCAAGACTAATAAGTAATAATTAACCAGAAAAGCCCACCCTGTGACAACACACACATGGACGCAAATACACACCCACTTCTTGGTCTACTTGTAAACGCTGCGAGGATCTGCTCTTACATCATCTCACTCTGGAGAAAAGCATAAATCAACCTGTCTGCAATTAGTTGAACAGATTACTGCTCTGATTTGGTGAGCCTCATTTTAAATCATGACAGGCAGCTCAAGCTTTCGAGGTGATTCTTTAATGTTATATTGAGGTATGAGTGTTTTCTGCGAAGATGAAAACATGTGGAGGATGAGTTTCAAAGGATGAGTTTCAAAGTTTTATCTCAAGTGACAACTTACAAGATGGTACAGTATATCAAGAAAGCCTTTTATGTCAGAATCTTCAGACTTCGTTGGACCAAAAATGCTCATTCTTACCTGTTTGACAAACTTACATTTTATTCAAGGTTGCCATGATATCAGATTTTCAACTCAGGGTTATTGAGGCCATGGATTGTCCCAATAACAATAATATTGCCTTCTCCAGGTCGATTACCGGTCGATCTATGTGCCGACGCTCACCTATGGCCATGAACTTTGCGTAATGACCGAAAGAACAAGATCGCGGATACAAGCGGCCGGAATGGATTTCCTTTGCAGGGTGGCCGGGCTCAGCCTTAGAGATAGAGTAAGGAGCTCGGACACTCAGGAGGCGCTCAGAATAGAACCGCTGCTCCTCCACGTCGAGAGGAGTCAGCTGAGGTGGCTCGGGCATCTGGTAAGGACGCCTTCTGGACGCCTCTCGTTAGAGGCGTTCCAGACATGGAGGGATTATATCTCTCGCCTGGCCTGGGAGCGCCTGGGAATCCCCCCAGAGAAGCTGGTGGAAGTGGCCGGGGTGAGGGCCGTCTGGGCGTCCCTCCTGAAGCTGCTGACCCGGACCCGGATGAAGCGGAAGCAAACAACGACGACAATAATATCGAGATAATATAATAAAAATAAAAACTTTAAGATAAAAGACAATTAGTCAAATTAAAGTAAGGCAGGATAAGAACAGAACAACACATCACTTCATAATGTGCAACTGCATAGCTGCTGCCCTGTTGCCTCTCATTAAGAGGATCCTCATGATTTTGTGTTGAAGTAGATTTATTGATTTGCTCTATATCTGATATTTGGTAATCACTTAATTCTGTCTATTTTGATAAACCTTTGGAGGTATTTTCTGTTGCTCTTAATTTGGTCAGTGTGTGAATAATTATTTGAAAAATCAATATTGGCATCATCCATTTGGCCTTTCTAAAGGTCATCTTTTTTATCAGCTAGTTCCAGGTGAACTTTGTTGACGACCAATGGGTTTACCTGGACAAAAGAAGAGGAAGAACATGCAATCATAACAGCATTACTGACAACTGCTGTGGCTTAATGTTGAAGATTTTACAGGGACAGTATATCTGCTGAGGAAGCCAGCAGCTCCCCCAAATTTGCAGGTCTATGATCATAAAGAGCGATGATTTTATGACCCAGGTTGTGCTTAAACAAACACATTAAACTGCAGGTTAAGTTCTTACAGGTTTATGTGTGTGCATGTGTTGGATTTTCTACGGATTTTCATCGCTGCTTTGGCGAAAGTGTCTGTCCATGTGTTCATTATGAGCCTCAGTGTGTGTCAGTGTGTGTGTGTGTGTATGAGAGCTGAGCTGCTCCGCTAATGCTGTGGTATTAATTGAGGGGAGGTTATCCTCCTAAGGTTGTTCTGACATGGCCACTAATCTCACTGCTGGCTCTCCTTTTAATTTAATTACAGTTTACTGTGTTAATATTTCATTAAAGTATTAGATAGAAGAGCGTGTTTTAATCAGAGCGACGCCACAGTCAAACAGCCCAGTGTCGCCCTCTGTCCCTCCCTCGCCATCATCCGCTGTCTGCTCGTACGTTTATTCTCCAGAGAATCTCTCATCCTTTCATCCCCTTCTCTGACACACACACACATACACACACACTCGCACACATACTAAACATACAAAAGCACTGAAAGAAACACACTGATGCAACTGCACACATGCTAATGTCGGCTAAATGCCCACAAATAAATGTAAATGAGAAGTTCTTAACACACACACACACTCACACACACATATATGTATACACACACACACACACACACACACACACACACACATATATGTATACACACACACACACACACACACACAGTCACTTGTTCTCTCTACAGGCCAGGGCAGATGTCTCTTGTCATTTTGCACAAGCATCAAACAACCGACCTGTCATATTTTCATATTTAACTATTCATCCCATTCTAATTTATGGAGTTCACAACACACACACACACACATACACACACCCACTCACACACTGCACCGTGTTGTCACCTATTAAACATTAAGTATGAAAGTTTTCTCCTGAGACACACAAAATCATTGAATTTATTTTGACCTTCAGAGTTTCATCGATCTGCGGTGACTTTGTTGCACTAACCTATAAAAAAAACGTCATCACTGAGAATAGGACCTAACAGCCTGATTCAGATGTTTAATATTGGTAACTATCCCGAGTTTTTCTTTTTTGTTTACTTTCTGGACTTTTGGGAGTCTTGAAAATTTGGCAGAATTTGTGCTGTGTTTGTCAAATTCTTGTAAAACATGATTACCTCTGTTGTTCAACAACCGAAGTTGGACACACACTCAAGAAATAATCTGGTTTCAGATGGTTTTTAGGATTAATTTACTTCTTCTCTTTTACCAGATTATTAAGTGATGTGGGTGTAAGAAGAAGGATTTTTTCTCCCCACTGATCACCCCGACTTGAAACCATAAGTACTTCACATGTTCAACATTTATGATCCAAAGGCTTTATGTCTGTGGGATTCCCCAAGGATGGCAGAGAATGCACTCTCTCTCTAATGCCAATGGACATCACGTACCCATGGCAAAAACAGTAAACGTGACATATAAACTGAGGTGCATGTCAAAATAATCGGACCTACTTGTTGCTACATGGCGCCAACACGAGTATGTACACAGTAAGTTTGATACAACACACTGACTCCATCATGACAAAAGGAACTGCTACTGCAATAAAGGTATCTGAGAGCCAAGCAGCTAGCGATGGTTCACTCTAGTGGTCAGTTATGTTTGTTTAATCCATTAATACTAAAGGAGAAGAAGAAAACGAAGGCTCCAAACAAAATACAAAAGTTTCTCAGACTCTTGAGGTGTCCTCTAGAGCTTTCTGTATACTTTGGAATAGCTGTTTTAAAACTTTGGTAATTTTCCTCTTTGGTTCAGATTACTTCACTTTACATGAACTCAGTGAACACACTCTGACGCTGAAGTACAGTTTTAGTATCATAATTATGTAGGCTAAGAAATTAACATTAATGTTCATGATCACAGTGATGTGTTTAATGACCATAAAATAAGCGGGATTTTTGGTTTCACTCTAGATTTGTAAGAGTGACAGTGAAAGAAAAAAGTTTTTATAGACCTCATGTTGATGTACACATGATGTAGTTAACATTTATCACACACACACAGACACACACACTCACACACACATCTATATTAAAAAGTGTGTGTCAGGAGTAATATTTGAAGCTTTGATACACAGATGGTGGTGCTGTCTACACCTGCCCTCCATGGGGACCTGTGTGTGTGCGTGTGTGTCTGTGTCTGTGTGTGTGTGTGTCTGTCGGTCTTCAACACTTGAAAGAGACTTGTCAGCATTCCTCTCTGAACTACCTCTGTCGTTTATTAATCTCTCTCTTTCATTCTGTCATCCTGATGCTCCCTCTCTCTCCTCCTCTTCCTGCCTCACACTTTCACTCACTCTTTTTGGCTTTTTCCTTCTCTCCTTCCAATCTTTTAATCTCTCTTTCATTTCACCCTTTTTCTCTCCAAGTCATTTTACCTGCAATCAGTGTTTTCATCTAGACATCTGCATAAGTGAAATATTTTCTTATTTTTGTGTCAGTTTGGATGATGCGGGCTCAGCACGCTGGTTGTTCATGAGTCCTTATTCAGCCAGAACTTTGCATCACATGGTGGTGAGACACATAAGTGGGCCGAAAACAAGCCTCACAATAAAACCTTGTTCATGGTATACATTGTGAGTAGAAAAAAGCATTGGTATTCAAGTAGACAAAGTTCTAAAAACACAAGACTTCAGTGTTATGATCCTGATACAAAGAGCTTACAGTGATGTGACCCCAGTCTGTGTGAGGAAAAGACTGCTCTGCTTTGGGAGTAACTGATGGGTCTGGTCTGGTGGGAAATATAAAATGCATGTAATTAAAGCAAACGAACAAAAAATAATTTTCACTTATGCAAAAAAAAAAAAAAAAAAATCACAGCAGACAATGGATGCCCTGCTGTGTCTCTGTGACTGTGTGTGTTTGTGCAAAAGGGAAGTAACCATGCTGAGAGCTGCTGTACACACAGAATACCCCCATATTCACTACTTCCTATGTGTTAAAACAGGCTTTTTACTTAGAGCACACACACACACACACACACACACACACACACACACACACACACACACTTAAGGATGTGTACACACAAACACTGTCATTGCCAAGGGGAAATGAATAGGTGTTGGGGTGTGGATTCCTTCATCTGACTGAAATATGTTTTCTTGGCTGTGAGAAACAAAACTGAGAAATCCACATATGTTGCAGAAGGGGAGGATGTGTGTGGAGAAAGGACCTGCAAGGAAAACTCAGGGGTAAGAAAGACGAAGGAGTACAGGAAAACAAAGTTAGAGAAACTGAGATATTCTTTGTGTTGATTCAACAATGACAAATGAAGACAACAAATGTACTTAGTTTTGACATTTTTGGTAGCTGTTGTGTAAAAGATGAAATGAGGAACTGCTGAGGAAACCGGCGCGCAAGCTGGGTTACTGTTTCCTGCCTACCGAGGAATTTGGCTAACTTTCAGAGTCTGACCCAAACACTCGTCTTCCTTTAAGTGAACACTCTACAGAGAATTGTTTCGCAGATTACCATCAACAAGCCCATTAGTTTTCACACTATTTGTGGATACATCACATTTGTGCTCTTCTTAATGCGGCACACCAATTAGCCTATCATGTCTATGATGCATTACTCAGTTACTCTCTGCAACTCTTGAGACCGCTCAGTAATTTTCCACAAAGTGATCCACCAATATCTGACTCCAGAGCGTAACACAAACAGGATCCATATTGAGCGCATTGCATATTTATCAGGAAGTATTTGTCATCTACATGAACTGATACAGTCGGGAGTCTGTGTATGGTGTTTCATTGTCTCTAACGATCTTCTCTGTGTGGATTGGCGCGTATTGGAAGTGTAAAGCAGCAAAAATAGACTAACCTGCGACCTTTATGTGATTCTTAATTAATTGATTAGAATGGCAACCCATTCGCTGCGTGATTCGCGACGCTGATGTTACGCGCGCAATAAGGATCCTGTCTGCTTTAGCCTTCATACAACCCCACCTCAATACTGCTGAAATATCCTTTTGACTGTTTTACTTCTGCAACTGTTGGCTCAGCCTGGCTGACTCTGCAGACTCCCATTTTGGTTAATGCATTACTGTGTAGCAATCAAGACAACCCTGGATGTGAAACCCACACATTCCTCACAGGAAAGCTTCCTTATCTGGTCCCAGGAAACAGGATATAAATCTTTCCAGACGTGTTTGCCCTTTCAGGTTAAATAAGTGACCCAACAGGAGGTTGACTAAACCTCTGACTCTTCACGATTGGTCAATTCGGAGAACAGAGACAGAGTTTTATTACCTTTCAAACTGACTCCATTTGCTGACCATCTAAATAAACATTAACGTCTCAACCCAGATCTCCCATTTGAGATTTAGTGTCTTAAAGTGTGTGAACATACGGACCCCAGGATAAGGGGGGACACTGACCTCCAGACCTCGGTCGTAAAACCCTGCTCGACCATACACTGATAAAGACTGCATTCCTTTGGTGAAAGAATACAAATGACTGATCATGACATCTTATGCATTCAGCAATGTACTAATCTGTCTAATCATGAAATTTGTGTTAAAATGAGATGTTTCCCGTTTTTCTATGTGCTTCAGAAGCCAAGTTATCTTATCTGACAGAATAAATCCTTATTCTTTAGTTCTTTAGACCAACAGATTTTCAGACTGTTTCATGAACTTTTAAGAGTTAAATTTATCGACTATGAATCATAACTTAACTCTAGGTAACAGAAACAGTTTAGAAATGTTTGGTTTATATTGTAGATGTTTATTTAGTATTTTTAACCATTAGGTGGTTATAATGTCATTGAATAATCTGAATGTGAGTATTTAGAATCCATTATTAATCATGATGACGTTCATTCACATGAATTTACTCTTTTGTTGTTCACAGTTTCCATGTGTTACTATCTGTTTCATTTCAGAGTAATTTAGCATGTTCAATGTGATACTTAAAACATAATGAGAATGTTTGATGTGATCCTACACTTCATTCATATGTGTTTAGTATCAAATTATTTATCATGAAACCAAACATTCAATGATATTAATCATAGTGAGTGAGTATCAGATCTGACTCTTTTACCAGCCAAAAGAATAAGTTAGATCAAATAATCAAAGACCACACGACCCCTCCTCTGTCTCCTCACACACACGCCGGAGCCACTCCCCGTGTGAGAAGATAAAACCAGTGAAGTCGGGTTGCTCACTCTTGCTTATTCTCTCTTATTCCTCTCTTTCCTCTTATGTTTTTTTTTCTCTTATGCTTCTGCTCTTCTGCTGACTCTCTTGTCCCCGGCTCTTATGCCCCTTCTCTTCTGTCCACACCCTTCTGTGGTGCGTTTCTTTGTTTTCTCTTAGAACTTTTTCTTAGTCTTCTAAGTTTTACGCCACGTGTTGATTCACGTTGATTTTTCTTTAACATCGTCTTAGCTCAAGTTTGAAACTTCAACTTTTTGTGCGCATAGCAATTCAAGATTAAGCCTTTGATTGATTTTTCTTTAATTTCGCGAAGCCATTTTTGAAAGTTTTCTCTGCTCTTCGAGCCTCGGTTTTCTGAGTTTTCTGCGTGATTTCAAAGTCACCTCTGAACGCAACCCAGCAGGCCCAGGTCATCCTCTGTGCCAGAGTTTTTGAGTGAGACCAAAGAAGTACCCAAACGAGCATCCACAGGATCCACAGGCGCTGGCTTTGCTTCGGGCCCGAGTGCTGCAACTCCTGGCTCATCCTTCGGCTGACTTCAGTCGTCTTCTGAGCTGAACCGCTCGAACCGCCAGTAGCCCCGGACCTTCGGAACCTGCTCCATCTTCTCCAAGGACCAGTCTCACTTAAGTATGCAAACCTCCAGAGCTCCAGACAGGGCTGATGCTGTCTCACGCGTTCATAACTCAGATATCCACCTATTTCTGGTGATCTTAGATTCCTCCAAATCTACACCCGAGTTTATCTCGACACCAAAGTTAGTGTAGGTCAATATGTTAGCGCATATTCACTCACTATCATTAACTTTAGTGCTCCTAGCCTGACTCAGAATCTTTATTTATTCACCTATTATTATTTTATCCTCATTATCTTATCATCATTTATTGCATGTTTGTTGTACCATCATTTATCCTGTAATAAACAGATCATTATTTTTCTAAGTTCCTGTCTGTTAGTGTTCTTCCAGAAGTGGAGTCCCTGAAATTAGAATTTCGACTTAAGATATGAGACTGATTAATTAAGACTGATTAATTAAGACTGATTAATTAAGACTGATTAATTAAAACTGACTTGATGTTTGATTTCTGAATTAAACTTTTGTTTTCTTTATTTTCCCACCATCAAGGGTGGGTGGTGCCCCTTTCAACGAGTGCATAAATGTCATAATTTGAGATTATTAATCTTCAGACATTTATTATAAATTCCAATCGCCAAGTACTATTTTGGTACGGCCTTGTGAGGCTCATTTCAACCGCTACATATATTTTGTTGCGACCGTGTGAGGCTCATTTCAAATCACTACATATTATTTTGGTGCGACCGTGTGAGGCTCATTTCAAATCACTACATATATTTTGGTGCCCCTGCGTGAGGCGTTTCAAACAAAACTTCTGGATACTAACAGACAACCTAAAACTTAGCTTCCAAATTGATGAGAGAAACTTATTCCCAGGCTATTTTAGACTTAATCACAATCAATGCTATGCTTGCTGAAGTTGCTTGACTAAGTTCTGATGTTTTCATGATCTATGCATAAAACCTTTATGCTCTGTGTTTCACACACTCTTGTACTACATGCCTGTAGTCTGTGTTTGAGCTGGACAGCGTGAAATGTTGTTCTGAGTAGCAGTGAGACTGCTTCTTCTGCTCTGTCTAGACTGTCCAATATTTAAGTGCACGATTGTTGCGTCGCCGTACGCTTGTATTTAAGGCCTTTGGCTGAACCCAGTGTTCGCGATGCTCCGAGCTGTGGTTTCAAGCCCCTGAAGTCTCTGTAGTCTGCTACGAGGTTCTAGTAACTATATGGGATTCAGATTTCCTCCTTTCCCCTGACAGATTAACTACCTGTCACAGGAAACCACTGTAACAGTGGGAGGTTGTTGTTTGATTGAATTGAGACAAAATTTGTGTTCACAAATCGCCGCATTTGTGATTTTTAAGTTTGCAGTTGAATCTGCTGTTGAGGGATTTGTCACTTTGATTCTTGTCTCTATAGTCTGCTATGAAGTTCTAGTAACTATATGGGATTTAGATTTCCTCCTTTCCCCTGACAGATAAGCTATCTGTCACAGGAAACCACTGTAACAGTGGGAGGTTGTTGTTTGAATGAATTCAGACAAAATCCGTGATCACAAATCGCCGCATTTGTGATTTTAAAGTCTGCAGTTGAATCTGCTGTTTAAGGATTTGTCACTTTGATTCTTGTTCCTGTAAATGATTTTATTGAACCAATCTGCCTGAGCAGATGGTGTAAAGTTCTATGTTTGAGGGTGCAGACGCAGCCTGCTGTGAAATGTTAACCCTTTGTTGTCAGTGGAGAGACTGACCTTTTGGCCTTAAGCAGATAAGGCCCTTCAAGGAGGCAGAGCCTAAAGGCCCCTTCCTGCATACTTTCCAACTTCACAGCCACAAGAGGCTAGTTGGATGACTGTTTCCTCTTCTCTTCTTCTTCTCCACTTGTGTTGAGCTTGTGCAGTTCTCCCAACTCCATACTGCCCCACATGGTTGCTTTTGGTATTGAGCTAACACTGCTATTATCTGCCTGCAGTATCAGCCAGCTGTACTGCCTCTCTGTAGTCAGTGTGTAACACTCTACAGACATAATTCAAGTGATTGACTTGGTTGATGAAGTTTGATGTGCTTATTCTAAATCATTGATCACTGATTTTTGATTCTTATCTTTGTTATAAGAGCCTACATAATGTATTGATAAAGTAACTCCTTGAATCAATCACCTGATCTTGTTGTTACTTATCACATCATTGAGCAGTTTTACTGTTCCCTATAATACATGAATGTATTAACCCTCCTCATAAGATTAATTAATTAATGAACAAATTAATTAATATTTGAAATTTCTTTTAACATTCCAGATAGATTTGGTATTCGAACCTTTGGATTTATTGCAATTTGTGAATTAACTTCAGAGTTAATTCCTTAAATTGACAATTTCATTGATTTTTCCCAATTCATCCAACTGCACCAGGCAGTCTATTTAAGCTTTGCTGATCTCTGCAACACAGAGACAAATTGAACCCTTTATTCAATGGTTCTGTATCTGATGTTAAATTTAATTTAACATTATTTCACCTTGTTTTTCTTTCAATTTTCATTGAAATGAATTTAACTTTATGTTATTTTTCTCTCCATTAGATATCTACTCAGATAGGCTCTTCCTCTTTATCAAGCACTGATAAATTAAGTCGATTAACCCACTTAATTTGATATTTTGCTTCTTCCTTTCATTTTAAGTCAACTCAAACTCATCAACCAACCAGCTGCACCTCTTTACCAAAACAAAACATGCCTAACACAAAAGAGTCCAGCCAGGGAGACCCCCTGAGGGACATACCCACAGTGTTGGCAAACTTAACTAGTCAGCTGATACCTCAGTACATGACTAAGATTCAAAAGGCCAAACCCTCCAATCCGGAGGATGAAATGGCTGACCTACTGGAAACAGCCTTAACCACGACACTTCGTGACAAAGAGCTCACTAGACGCATGTCTGTCATGATGTCTTCTCAGCTTGAGTATAAAGACTACTTGCTGGAATGCGCTTTAGCAAAGATCAAGACGCAAAAAGAAGAAAACAGCGCTCTGAAAAAGACGCTAGAAGAGACTAAGAAGTCTCTAAGTGTTTTAGAAAAACACCGTGCCAGATGTGAAGCGTCAAAGCTTCCCTCACTGATAAGTCATGAAGAAAATCTTGAACTCAAAGACAAGATTGAAAGACTTAATGAAACCCTTTACAAAAAGGAGAAAGAACTTGATGACACGAATAAGCAGCTTGCTAAGACCACAGAGGATCTGATACAGTCAGAATCCCTACTAGAGCAAGCAACAGAAGATGTAAAAGCTTTGAAAGCACTGGTCAAAGTGCGTGCTGAAGCTCTTGAAGTTAAGGAGAAGCAAACTTCTACCTTACAGCACCAGCTCCAGATAGCTCAAAGACAGTTAATTCTTTGTCAAGAACGGCAAGAAAAGACAGACAAAGAACTTGAAGATGCCCAAAGAGAGTTACAATGCTCCCTCCAGTCAGGTCGAGCCCAAAGAGAACGCATGGAGCAAACGTTTCTTGAAGAAATGATAGGTGATCAGCCTCCTGAGAGAGCGCCATCACTTCCTTCCAAACCAACTCTTACGTATCTCTCTCAGCATCATGACAGGACCCTGCTTGACCCTGAGAGGTCATCCTTAAACCAAGAGTCCTACTCTCCTCCTCATGATGGCTTCTTACCATTTCCCTCAGACAGGGATCTTGACAAAATTGCTCGCAACATAGCACGCTTTGAACCTGAGCACCAAGGTGCTACTGACACCTGCACCTACTTGAAAGACATTGACTTTTACCTGCGGAAATTTCCAGGTGCAACCACTGATGACAAAATCTACCTTATTAAGGCAACGTCAAGTCGAGAGGTTAACAGTTTCCTTGAACGACAGCCTTATCATGTCAGAAATAATTATGACTTGCTCTGCCAAGCATTAATCGAAGAGTTTTCTGATCATTTGACCCAGACAGGCCTTTCTGCTGCTCTGTCTATTAAACAAGGGAGATCAGAACCTCCCCAACAGTATTACAACCGCTTACGCGAAGCTTACTTTGGTTTCCGAAATGAACCAGAAATGGAGGAGGACTTGAACTTCAAAACGCTGTTCGTCCAGAACCTCCACCCTACCATCAGTCATTACCTTGGCGTCTTAGCTTGTCCAAACACTTTGACTAGCCGACAGCTTCGTGAACTTGCTGTAAAAGGTTTTGCCAAACAACGACAAACTTTGGCTAAGAAAGCAGAGCCCGTTACTCTCTTGGCTATGGAGACAAAATCACTGCCCATGGAGCTGAACGAAGCTTCAGACTGTGTATTTTCAGGCTCCGATAAGCCTCCAAATGAGTGGTTAACCAGGCCTCCAAAACCTTTTCGACCTCAACACACTCACAAAGGTCAAAGTTACACACCAAGGCCCAGTTCTGACACAGACCAACGCCAGGTAAACTTTGAGACCAACTGTTGTTATTCAGACTCCCGTCACGGTGGGTTTTATCCCAGACAAAGGAAAAACCATCAACACCGCCAAAGTGGGGTGAATGACTGGCAGAATCAGAGTAAATCACACTCTCAGAAACGACGATCTTATTATCCACCTCAATCGGTTTCATCCACTTTGAAGGTGAATAAACATGACCACTCAGCTAACCACTGAGATTAACACTGCGGAGTCATGAAGGTGTGAGTCCTGCGAAAGCAGAAGTCACTCAGCCAAAGCTAAATGACTCCAATAAGATATCCAAATGCTGTGGTGATACATTGATGACTGCAATACCAGTTGCTGCTTTCTTTGTTAGCATTTGTCTCTCCTCTGTCAATATAGTCAGCTTGTCAGCTGTCAAATATCCCATGAACAGATTAAAAGCTGAAATTTCTGTCACTAAGACTCAGATTGACAAATTTCAGACTCAACAGCAGATAATTAGTCAAACCGATAAGAGCATCATCCCCAAGTTTAACAGACAAAGTTTAAGAGAAACTCTGTGCAGTAAACCTTTGATGTTTGTGATTCAGGTTGACTATGCTCATACACAGATGGTTGATATGTCTATAGCAGACATTTCTTTTCCACCTAAGTCTTAACCATTTTTGAAACTGAAATTGAACTTTCAGACTTCTCCAGCAAGCATGAAAAACAGCTATAGCTTTAGATCCAGTTAGCATTCAGACTAAAGAGTGCTTTTCTAAATCTCATTAATACTGAAAATTAGGAGATTTTCTTTCACATTAGTCTACCAATAGTTAACTGAGAAAAGTCTAACACCTAGACGATTTTATTTGATAGCTTAATGCATGCTTGATGTTATCTTAAAGCAGATACTAGTGATTCACATAGTGATAATGAGACGCATCAGTCCTATTTGCATACACCTGCTGCTGCTGCTGCTGCTTCATGGTTGTCTACTCGTCGTCCCGATGCTCCATGGACAGGACCACCGTGACGAAGGGGGGACTGTAGCAATCAAGACAACCCTGGATGTGAAACCCACACATTCCTCACAGGAAAGCTTCCTTATCTGGTCCCAGGAAACAGGATATAAATCTTTCCAGACGTGTTTGCCCTTTCAGGTTAAATAAGTGACCCAACAGGAGGTTGACTAAACCTCTGACTCTTCACGATTGGTCAATTCGGAGAACAGAGACAGAGTTTTATTACCTTTCAAACTGACTCCATTTGCTGACCATCTAAATAAACATTAACGTCTCAACCCAGATCTCCCATTTGAGATTTAGTGTCTTAAAGTGTGTGAACATACGGACCCCAGGATAAGGGGGGACACTGACCTCCAGACCTCGGTCGTAAAACCCTGCTCGACCATACACTGATAAAGACTGCATTCCTTTGGTGAAAGAATACAAATGACTGATCATGACATCTTATGCATTCAGCAATGTACTAATCTGTCTAATCATGAAATTTGTGTTAAAATGAGATGTTTCCCGTTTTTCTATGTGCTTCAGAAGCCAAGTTATCTTATCTGACAGAATAAATCCTTATTCTTTAGTTCTTTAGACCAACAGCTTTTCAGACTGTTTCATGAACTTTTAAGAGTTAAATTTATCGACTATGAATCATAACTTAACTCTAGGTAACAGAAACAGTTTAGAAATGTTTGGTTTATATTGTAGATGTTTATTTAGTATTTTTAACCATTAGGTGGTTATAATGTCATTGAATAATCTGAATGTGAGTATTTAGAATCCATTATTAATCATGATGACGTTCATTCACATGAATTTACTCTTTTGTTGTTCACAGTTTCCATGTGTTACTATCTGTTTCATTTCAGAGTAATTTAGCATGTTCAATGTGATACTTAAAACATAATGAGAATGTTTGATGTGATCCTACACTTCATTCATATGTGTTTAGTATCAAATTATTTATCATGAAACCAAACATTCAATGATATTAATCATAGTGAGTGAGTATCAGATCTGACTCTTTTACCAGCCAAAAGAATAAGTTAGATCAAATAATCAAAGACCACACGACCCCTCCTCTGTCTCCTCACACACACGCCGGAGCCACTCCCCGTGTGAGAAGATAAAACCAGTGAAGTCGGGTTGCTCACTCTTGCTTATTCTCTCTTATTCCTCTCTTTCCTCTTATGTTTTTTTTTCTCTTATGCTTCTGCTCTTCTGCTGACTCTCTTGTCCCCGGCTCTTATGCCCCTTCTCTTCTGTCCACACCCTTCTGTGGTGCGTTTCTTTGTTTTCTCTTAGAACTTTTTCTTAGTCTTCTAAGTTTTACGCCACGTGTTGATTCACGTTGATTTTTCTTTAACATCGTCTTAGCTCAAGTTTGAAACTTCAACTTTTTGTGCGCATAGCAATTCAAGATTAAGCCTTTGATTGATTTTTCTTTAATTTCGCGAAGCCATTTTTGAAAGTTTTCTCTGCTCTTCGAGCCTCGGTTTTCTGAGTTTTCTGCGTGATTTCAAAGTCACCTCTGAACGCAACCCAGCAGGCCCAGGTCATCCTCTGTGCCAGAGTTTTTGAGTGAGACCAAAGAAGTACCCAAACGAGCATCCACAGGATCCACAGGCGCTGGCTTTGCTTCGGGCCCGAGTGCTGCAACTCCTGGCTCATCCTTCGGCTGACTTCAGTCGTCTTCTGAGCTGAACCGCTCGAACCGCCAGTAGCCCCGGACCTTCGGAACCTGCTCCATCTTCTCCAAGGACCAGTCTCACTTAAGTATGCAAACCTCCAGAGCTCCAGACAGGGCTGATGCTGTCTCACGCGTTCATAACTCAGATATCCACCTATTTCTGGTGATCTTAGATTCCTCCAAATCTACACCCGAGTTTATCTCGACACCAAAGTTAGTGTAGGTTAATATGTTAGCGCATATTCACTCACTATCATTAACTTTAGTGCTCCTAGCCTGACTCAGAATCTTTATTTATTCACCTATTATTATTTTATCCTCATTATCTTATCATCATTTATTGCATGTTTGTTGTACCATCATTTATCCTGTAATAAACAGATCATTATTTTTCTAAGTTCCTGTCTGTTAGTGTTCTTCCAGAAGTGGAGTCCCTGAAATTAGAATTTCGACTTAAGATATGAGACTGATTAATTAAGACTGATTAATTAAGACTGATTAATTAAGACTGATTAATTAAAACTGACTTGATGTTTGATTTCTGAATTAAACTTTTGTTTTCTTTATTTTCCCACCATTAAGGGTGGGTGGTGCCCCTTTCAACGAGTGCATAAATGTCATAATTTGAGATTATTAATCTTCAGACATTTATTATAAATTCCAATCGCCAAGTATTATTTTGGTGCGGCCTTGTGAGGCTCATTTCAAATCGCTACATATATTTTGGTGCGACCGTATGAGGCTCATTTCAAATCACTACAACTGTCTCTCATGGTGTTAAATACAACCTCAATTTTGTACAAAGTGTTCCTTTTTTTCGGCATGAAATATGAATAAAAAGTCACCAGAAATCTTGCTCCAGTTCCTTGGTATTACAGTCTGAGGTAATAGCCTGTGATTACAGGCTGCTCACTGCTGCATCAGTCATTAACCTTTCAACTATTAGTCCTGTTTAAACACTCCGGCTGACGCTAATGCAGCTAGAGCTGCTTAAAAGCATCCTGGATAATTGGCTTTTTGGCACAAGAGTGGTCAGCTTGTGTGTGTGTGTGTTTGAGAGAGCAGTTGACTTATAAAGTGTTCATGCTATGTGTGTGTGTGACTGATGGATATGTATTTGTGAGGAAAATATGTGTGGGAGCCCAAGTGTGTTTTGTGAGAGGGAGCCAGAAAATTTAACTCAAACGCTGATGCCTCCATCATTTACACCACAAACCTGCACCTGTTTGTTAATGCACATGTAGCAGATTCACGGTAAAACTGCTGCAGAAAGTGGTAATGTTCAAAACGCATTCAAGCGAAATACACCGCAAATGAAAGAGTGTGCAAGAAAATCTTAACAGCTGCATCATCAGTGGTTATACAGCAGTTATTTTACACATTACACTTTGAACACATCACAATTTGACCTTATGTTGCCTTATGATGCATTCCAGTTGTACTCGGAAGTCGGAATTTCCAAGCTTCAAGTCAGAAATTCATCTGGAACACCCCTCTGAAGTCGGATTTCCAATTTGGAAAGTGCATCAACAGTAAAGAGTAACAGTGAAAGCTATCATGATATATTTTTTATTAGCACTTCTGTTTTGTTTTTGTGAAATTAAATAAGTGGTATATGTTGTACTGCCCAACGTCTAACTGTGAACACGGTGCTATGGTGTTTGTAAGAGTAAAATACAGTGTTACGCGTTATTTACAACTGGTATTGCTAACAACTACTAACAACAGCTGACAATTGTAAACAACAGCTAACAACGGCCAACTGTAGGTGTCCATCTTGTTTTCTGACTTGTTAACTGGAACGCCGTCAACTCAGGTGTAACGTCATTCCCAGCTCAGACCTCCGAGGTAACTGGAAAGCAGCATTATTTACCAAGCGGAATAGTCTTTTTTTTACTGCTCATTTTGACATTAAACTACTTTTTTCAATAGATGGACATGCTTCAAAGTTTTGGTGGGGAGGAGTAGGAACACTGTCTCGCATGAGTAGCAGCAGCTGCAGGAGTTCAAAGAGTTTTTCAACCCAAAGACAATCACAGCTTCTGCTTTCAGGTTTGATTTTATGCAAACGCTGATGTACCTGGCCGTGGAGGTTGAGCTCAACACTTGGACATGTTTTCAGTCATCCATTAAGTCATTCTGGCAAGCAAAATACCACCAGTACTCTCTACGAAGAGGAGAGCAGGAGATATCCCAGGTTACCTGATGGTGTAGGTGTGTAAACTGTGAGCCAATGCCCACTTATACAACTTAAAGGGATATTCTGGCCATAACAACAAGTTAGACACCCTCTCGAGAGATTAATGTTACCAACCGCTAGCTTCTCTAGTCATACCAACTTTAGTAACGACCGCATGATGGCAATACACAGCGGTCTACGCCACCACACGCAAACCTCAACCAAAAAGCCACTCTGTCGTCACAAATAATGCTCTTCCTTAGCAAAGACACCAAACTCAACTCACCCTCTCTCCTCCAGCGGCCGCTTGTTTGTTGGGGAGGCCAACGCACCAAACGCAGCGGATCATCTCTATGAAGTAATAACCATCATAATAATAATTTTCACTGCAGACGCGATAGTTCTTCTGCCTAACTGTCTCGGTTTGATTGCATTTCCATGAAGAAATGATCATAAATGTTCTTCCTTGAGCTGCAAATCTCCGCTGCACTCGGTGATCGACTGGTAAGGGTTCAAAGAGAGTAAAAATACTTTAAGAGGTGGAATCATGCTTTTTTGTCATGAGTAGTACACAGTACATGAACAAAGTTTCGGATTACTAGGTAAACGTGTGTTGACGTAATCCCAAATGGGTCCACAGGCTGCTCTGAATGGTTGGTTCAGCAAGATCAATATAGGATTTGCCAGACATTCAGCATACTTGGTTCTTGGGGGCCTTAAAGGGACAGCAGATGAAGATGAAGCATCTCATACAGAGGCTGAAATAAGGGTTTATAAAGACAGCAGCCTGAGAGATGAGAAGAATCTGTTGAACTGTAAATCCTGTAAAGCTGCTAAGAAGTTATCAGGAGCTAAAACAGAGCATTATACTCACTCCTTAGATACCCTGTTGAATCATGGTTGTGCTTATAAGCTTCTGATTGCGATAACCATGATTGATTTATGATTTTCAGACGTCGTAAATGCTTGGACAAAGTTTTTATCCCCATCTCCGCTAGTTTTTTCTACTTTTATCCGAGCTCTCAGTCTCTTCTGCAGGTTGTGTTCACAGCAGTTTGTACTGAGCGCATGTCAGTGAGGATGCTTGTTAGTGTTAATTGGCACTGATCTATTAATAAGTGACTGGGTAAAGGAAAAAGGTGGTTAATGAAGACGCTCTGATTGACAGTAAAAAGATGTTATGGTGTTATATTTGACAAGATGAGAAGTGTTTTACTTCTCTTCATGGTTTCAAAAAACTCATTCTTTGATATTCACACTTCTCACATCGGTTTTATTTGACATGTTGTGTCTTCGTGTTGCAACTGAGCTGTCATTCATTTGTTGTATTTTTTAAAATCACACTTTAAATTGTTAATTCTTCATCAGCAGCCTGTGTGCTTTGTTATTTTCTGCTACTCTTAGTGTCATTAAAGGATAGGAGAGTGTTTGGTGCAGAATGACAATGAAGCCTGCACTTGGTTTTGTAGTTGTGCGCACACATCCCAGATTCCCATGTAAATGTAGTGTGAGTGTGTGTGTGTGTTGTGTGCGATGTGGGAGTCTGTGTTTAATGTGTGTGACAGCAGGTCTGAGGCTGTAAAGCTCCAATAAACCCAAACCTGAAATCATCAGGAGGGCGTCACGCTGGGACTGAGAGACGAGGAGACACTAAAGCAGAAGAGACTGGATGTCATTAACAACGGGACAACATCAGCTCAGACAGACACCGCCAAAGTGTCCAAGCCGGGAGAAAAATCTGTAAATTTTACATAAAAGTGGAAACGGTTTTAGGAAGACTAACACTGCTGTGATAAATGTCTGTAGAGGGCAGGTGTCCAGATATTTTTGGCCATGTTCACACAGGTATGGAAAAAAAAGAGATGGCTTCTGGAAGTTGAACCATCAGGTTTGTTATTAATAGCCAACAGCTCCATGTTTGCTGAGTGAAATGTATAAAAGGTAAGCAAAGTATCTGGTGTTATTAAACAACAACAAAACTCTAATGTGTCGATGTTGATGACTCTGACAGTTTTACTATCTTTCACTTCATTGGCTATAATTAAGAAATGTAGACACAGTGATCAAGCCAATCAGTCGAGACTCTGCATTTTGAGTCATGTCTGTGATTGGACAGATTTGATAGGTCTTGCGAAGCCCCTGTCCTGGTCGACAGGTTTCCTTAGTCGCAACTTGTCACCCTTAGGCGCACTCTGTTTTTCATCCCTATTACGCCTCATTGGAATACAATCTCCAAAGTCGTCCTCTTGATATTTTGAGGAAGACTGTAAACTGGTAATCCAGATCAAATTATAATTGGGAAAATGTTTTCTGAAATATTGAATCAGGTGAGGTTTCTGATGATAGGCTTGTATAAAATCAAACCTGCTCTCTTTTCTGATGGAGTCACCCTTTGAAACAAAGAGGCCATGACAACTTCTTCACTCTTGGTTTCTGTTTCACCAAGACCAGATTTGCAGAGAGTGATGTGTGAACAGTTTTATCAAGTCTTCTGAATATGACTCTGACCAGGTTGTGTTTAGTTGATGAAAATCCATGACCTCCTAAAAATGACCACCTAAGCTTATCAGACCAGTAAACTGTGATAGTGTGTTATCAGTCAGTCATGCAAAACACATCAGAGTAACACATGTGAATACAGACTGTCTCCTTGAGCCAGGAGCAGTAGTTCACAGTATTCTGTAAACTGTGTATGGAGTGGTGAATCAAATACAATTAAACTTGGCATATTTATCTTCCTGCCGTTCCACAGTATAATAATGTTGCACATGCAGGTTTTCTATACAGAGGTGCAATGAACTCTTACAGTATGGGGCAAACGTAAACCAGTAGCCTGTTACCTTGGTCTCTTCCATGACACCATCAGACTCATCTGTTCAGCTTGGATCTATTTGTTGCTACATTAACATACCTGGAGTGAGGCACACGACAGGGGGCAGAAAAGTCTGGACTGACCCCCCAAGTACTGACACTGCTGAGGTGGCATAAAGTATGTGAGCCCATACACAAATTGACAAAAATGTGTTTATGCCTCTGTGTCATAATAGCAGCCATACTTTCAACAGAAGTGTCCTCTCTGATGAGGCAAAAAGCCAAATAAAATGATGCTTTGAGTTTTTCCGACACTGTTATATTTTTGAAGGTCTTGCCATGTTAAAAAAGCTAAAACTAACAGAAACTAAATGAAATTAAAAATTCATAACTATTATGACCTTGGTCGTTGGAGTACGTGTCGGCTGCCATATCTAGAGCACAGGAAGAACTCAATCCTTAAATAAGCTTTTTGTCTCAAACTGACTGAAAATCCCCTCTGTGATTGATCCATCCAGCTACAAACACGTGTCTGTGCTCAGTCTCAACTGTTTATGTCACCTTTTTACAGACACACAGGGCTGAAGAAAGCCGTGTGTGCATTTCCATACACACACAGTCACACCTGTTATATCGAAACCCTGGCAGATTTTTGTCGGGCCCGTTCGTCTGCTTGCCAATTTGAAGCGTCCCTCGTCCGTCTCTGCTAATAGACTTTGTTACGATGCCAGAGGTTCAGCACGTCTTAAATCACTCCGCCGGTCCAAATCTGACAGTGTGTTCTGTGATGTTTAATTAGGAATAATAGTTTCTAATATTCCACCAATTAGAGGCTGTCTGCCGTTCAGTCAGGGGAGCCGTATTAAGTGAAAAAGAGGCAGGAAAAAAGGGAGAAAAGTAGAATTAAATGACTAAACAGGTAATGCCAGGTTGGTGCACCCCTGGGATTTTTTATTTCAGCAAAAAAAACTGGCACCGCTGAAGGATTTCTGACTAATGATTCATTTAAGCGTTTCTCGAAGGAAATCACTAATTAAAACAAGGCTGAAAGTCCAAATGTTCAAACCAGCAAAATATGTTTAAAAGAGGAATTAAAAAAGGCGCTTCTGGTGGGAACCTGTGTGTGTTCGTGTGTGTGTGTGTGTGTGTGTGAAGATGTGTGTGTGTGAGCCGAGGTGTTGCTTAAAGCGGAGATTTACAAAGGTTGGTGTGTGAGCTACATAATGTTAAATCATCCTGCAGCCAGAGAACCTGCTGTGTTGTGGTGCCAAAGTCAAGCGAGTTTCTGATGTTTGGGTTGCTGAATCAAACATGGACGCTTTTCAGTAGGGTCAAACTGTAGGAGACGATCAAAAAACGTACTGTCAAGATGTCACAAGTCCTCAGAAATATGTCGTTTTCACTACCAACAACCCTTGATTCAATAGCTGGATATCATAAATCAAGGAATGAAACAACCTTTAAGTCTAAGGGGTTGGGAGAAGGTGCAAAGTGATATTTTAAGGACATGGTTAGAACAATTTAACTCCTATTTAGTGTTTTTATTTTATAATGAAATGTGAGAATCATGAACCATAACCAAAAAGCAGTGTTGCCAACTCCTCAGTAAGGAAAGTCGCTAGTGGCTGTCCTAGAAGTCGCTAGATGGCGTCATCACCTAATTTGCATAATTTTTCATGTCACCCACCCTGGCCCACGGAGGAGGAGTGAGGAGTCTCCCTCGACAGCCACTACCCCTTGAGAAAAGTAACATCGATACCTGCTTTCATGCCTGAGTCTAAATTCCAAATTTGTCGCTAGGGGGGGTCTGAAAAGTTGTGAAATCTAGCGACATCCATCGCTTGGTTGGCAACACTGCCAAAAAGAAATCCAGATATTTAAGGAAGTAACAGTTTTGGAAGGTTTGGGTATTTTTTTATATCTTAGAAATGGCCGTACGTAAATCAAGGACATATTTTTAAAAAGGGGAAATGCATTCAAGGAAGTGTCCAAACTTGGCAGGCCTGGAGATATTTTTATGAGCGGGATCCTTTCATGAAAAATGAGGGAAATTTTCAAACAGATGGGTCATTTTCAGCAAATGTCCTGTGTGTCAAAACAGCAGACGAGTCAACCAAGACACCTCTCTCTGCAGCGACTGTTGTCCAGCTCCTAAAGCAGGGGATCCCAAAGAGTACCCAGACCACATGAGGCTCTCTCCTAGTCATTGTGTACAGGACACCTCGAACAGGAGGTAAGAGGGAGGCTCCCTCATCAAATCCTTGAACAAGACCTCAAGATGCTTGAACTGCCTCACTCGGAGCCGAGACTTAGTCCCCACTGACAGAAAGCAAACCACTGCAGAGAACAGAAGCATGTAAATACGCGGTGAGACTATTTAGGTGAAATATGGTGACATATTTTAAGAGTGCCCAAGCTTTATCAATGTAACCCCCTGGTTTTCCACCGCATCCAGAATGGCTATGCCTTTGTGAGGTGAACTTTGTGGTGGATTACGGACAGCGGGAATCTCAAGAACTCACAAGAACCCACGAATTCATGTGCAATCATGTGATAACAAGTTGTCTCTATAAAGACAGCCACACAACCATATAGCAGTAGATTGTGTCCTTTCAGAGGAGGAAATCTACTTTTAGACTTCTAGAATCAGCATCTTCTCATCCATGGTGTCATCAGGGTGAAATGACGACTAAAAACCTTTCACTTGTTCGTCCCTGACAGTTTGCATGGTGTGAAATATGACCCACCTTAGACACATAGTGTTTTATTTTGAAAAAACACGGTTTTGTTTTGTGTCTGTGCCCGACTTCCTTTCCAGCATGGACTAATCTGTGCTGAATTTATGCGGCGTGCTCTGGCGTCCGGAAATAATAGAACTCTTCCGGCGATCCGCAGCAGAACGGAAAGAAGCCAGTGGGAACTTTAATGGAAATGATCAGCTGCGATCGGTGGATACTGCCTCTTCGAAGCCGTTCCGGATGCGGTGGAAATTGAGGGTAAGACACTTGAGCCTGGTTTATTCCTGTGATCACTGCATGCTCATGTGAAAATGCTGCATCGCTCTGCAATAGTCTTCGTAAACACTAGTTGGCAGTGCAATGGCTGCGCTTGATGATGTAAGAATGATCACAAAAAGGGGAGACGTTGGAGGAGTTAAAGGCCTGTGAGGAGAAGGACTGGAGATGTCCAACACAAAGCAGACCCATCACAGGGACTTGCAGTACCTGTTCCAGCAACATGTAGTTACATTTTTGAGGAGGTGAGTTTTGGTCCTCATGGACCCAAATCTTATGCTGTGTCGACCACACAACAATATTAATATTGAAGGAAACGTCCTCAAAAAGTGAAGAAAAATTAGAGGACAGTTCTGCACTTTCTGCATAAGAGCAACACACATCTGAATAATTTATAAAAAGTATTAACAGTGCAGTTTTTTTAAACTGTTGATAAAAGCAGCAAAGCTGTTTCACAATAAAGAGCTCTGATTTCTCTTCTCTTACTGGGTCACTGAAGGCTTTTGTCCCATAAATAGGACCAAACACAGAGGCACAAAGCACAGATACATACACTCACAAAAACACACCATGTCCACTGCTGTCTGAAGCAACAACAGAGGAAAAACTAACAAATAAAAGAATCACCCCAAAATGGACTTATTAACCCAGAGAGACAGAGACAGAAAGAGAGAGAGAGAGAGAGAGACAGACAGAGAGAGATAGAGGGTGTTGTGTTTTGGGACGCCTGCTCAGAAAAAAGTAGGTCATAGCTACACAAACACAAACACACACTCGCTCTCAAAGCAAAGTCTGACCTGCACCAGAAATTACACATAAAGACACTTATGCAAACATATTTTTACGTATTTAAATACTGCAGTTATGCTTCTTTATGATTAATGATTTTCTTTGCACTCGATGACCAAGCTTGAAAATCTTCTGTCTTGCTGTTCATGTTGTGGAGGTTTTGGAGACGCCGTTGGACAAAAGAGGTGGAGGCTGAATTTTCAATGAGCAGGATGATAATTTTGTCACGATGAAGACGATGACAGGCTGAAATATATCATCAAGGATATAATTGCGCAGTGACTAAAATGTCAGAGGCGGTAAGTGGCGACAGTCCCTGACCTTATGGGTGCCAGGGACCATCACCACTGCTGCAGTTCAAAGTGCAGTATAACCCTTTTTAATGTAAACACAAACACTAACATCCATGTCTGTTACACTTTTGTTTGAAGACAAATAGAACAATTATGTCCAAAGAAAGAGTTTCTTAACTTGGTATGAAGATTTAGAGGGGTCTGCATAACCACCTGCAACCTCACAGTCTGACGTTGAGTCTGTTTTCGCCTACCCAACAAGAGAATGTCATATTTATATAACTTATATAAAACATTTGTGTAAAAATTTATACAAACATTATCATGGGTATGTACATCCTTTTATTTTTCATAGATAATCATGTATGTCTTTGCATTTGTAAGTGAGCTGTTGGATGAGGGAATGGATCAGTTTTCTATGTATTTCTATTTGTTAATGACTGAATTTGTTGGTCTTGTTATTTTTCATTTAAATAATTTCTTCACTTATTAACAATTATTAACATTGCTTCACAAATCAAGAACCTTTACACCACCATGCAGGGAAATTAAACACCAAAATGGATCTTAAAATAAGGAGAAAAATCTCTGTAAAATAAAGAAAACACAGAAACTCGGTGTAAAGAAAAAAAAACTGCGCAGTGACAGAGATGAGCTGCTGTTTTTTTCAGGGTGTGTTTGATTCATTTTATTTATTTATTTATTTTCACCAACGCCTAATAAAAGGTTCACAAACCATCTGTTTGTCTTTCCCCCTGATGCCTTGCCCAAAGGTCCCCCCATCCTGAGACTGGCACCACGCCCAAACTCATCCATCCTTTCCTTTCCCCTCATTTCCTTCACCACACTCTGTCTTTTCTTATTTTTCTTTTTTCTTCACGTTTCTATGTCCTCTTTCCTTTTCCAGCTTTAATCCTGTCTTTTTCTCTTTTATTCTTCATCTTTCTTACCTCTTCTCTTACTCTCTTATCTTTATTTTTCCTCCCTTTTTCTCATCCCCTTCTTCTCCTCACCCTCACCTTGTTCCCTTGCTTTACTCTTCACCTTCCTATTTTCCAACATCATTCCTCTCTTACCCATCCTCCTCTTCTTCTTCTGCATTATCTCTCTCTCACTTATCTGCTACAATCTCCTTTTTGTCCATCTTTCTGCGCCTTTTTCCTCATCACTCTTTTTTGTTTTGCTTCAGTTTTTTCCTCCTTCATCCTCTCTCCCTCCCTCAATTTACCTAGCATCTCCCTTTCTCTCCCTCTCTTCTCTCTCCCCCTTTCCTACCCA